TCACGGAATTTTATTGGATCAATCGAATGATAAAGTCAACATCATTTACATCAAGGAATAAGTTGCAGTACTGCGTGTTCATTCTGATTTAATTCAGGCCCATAATATTTGTCACAGTTGGCTTTTTGTACGTCGTCATGTGATAACATATACACGAAAACAAAAATTGATTTTTTTAACAACATGAATGGGCCTAATGCTGACAGTCATAACCTTAAATCTTGTAGCGGTAAATAAAACCCCAAATTAAATAGCTCTGTAAGTTTTCCACATTGGATGCTGACCATATGTTTTAGTGGACTCATCTAGCTGAAGGCGCTCGGTCATGCATCCGCACCAGATCACGTGTGGTAACGCTGTGCTCAACATCTATCGCAATCGCTAACCAGATTAGATCAGAGAATTCCGATATATTGGTAATCGCCAAATACACTCTTCCGATCTCCACGACTCTGTCTTTTGATCTCTCTCGGTGGGTACAATTTATATTAGGTGTTGTTGGTAAAAGCGTTTTCAAACACTGAACACCTGTATCATCTTCAATCTTACAGGTGTCCTGCTAGATTGCTCAATCGAATAATTATAATCTGACTTTATCACAGGGATTTTCATCTTACATTTCAAAACTTTATATTCTACCGTGACAGCCACTTCTTGAAATGGCCCCGTTTCGGGAAGACTCCGATCAAGTGCCGTGTTTAGATCGATCTAAGCAGCTGTGAAAACATCTAAGGAGTACAATTCTCTCTCTATTAATCCGAATTCTTTCTTCTGCTCCTGTTTAATTTCAGGGATGAACTCAAAGGCTGATAATGGAAAGTTAAGTACTTCAGGTTACCAAAATGTTCACATATTTTGAACGACTTATCAGCTTCATGGAGTGGATATCTTATGAAATCTTGGAGTAGACTGATAAAGCTCAGTTGGTTGTGATCAGCTTAGGTCAAAGAAATTTGCTTTTTGGTTGCGGAACATGGTCTGTGTAAATAGAGTAGGTTGCATGTCTTGGTCACAGATAACTTCTAGACAATTCTCGCGTATGATAGAACGACAGAGCGAGCACTGATGACATTACAGTATTGGGTAAATCAGTGGTTCAGTGAGACGAATGAGATATGTTTTATGCTCATAGTCGATGCTGAAGTCATGTTTTGCTCAAAAAACAGTTTTATGGTAGGTGGACTGCTCGTCCGAGTTTGAAAAGCAACATGGATTATGGGTTATGAGAGGGCTTTTGATACCGCTAAAAGTCATTTTCAGTTAGCTCGCAAATTTGCACTCTTTATGTTTGTTGGTTATCAAACGGGAGAAGTTTTGACCCACTAATGAATTACTTGGGAGGATACTAAACATATACAGAAGCATGGTGAGAAATTAAGAAAGGCCATCAGTCTGCTGTTCGGCTGACATCAACATGATTTTCAATATTCAATAAAAGTTTTATGTACATAACTATTGAACTTTTCATTATTCACTCATTGTATGAGTGTCACACTCAAAAGTTCAGTTTACATCAAAGACTACGGTTTAGGAGTCTGCGGGCATCCGGGACTGTCATCTATGAACACAAGAAGAATGATGGCAAATGTGCCGACAACACGGGCACTGACAGTGACGAATGTGTCAGTGTTGTTACGCAACGCCTCAAAAAACCGACTCTGAACGACGCAAAAGTGAAATCTCCGTTGATATTAACAGGGGGAGTAGTACCACCTAGTACTGACATTGTAAATCATGCACCTTTAGTGGGCACCGACGATCTGGATAAAACAGTCACCGTTCCAAATAGTCCCAGTGTTACTAGGGATGAAAAATGGACTACGGTACGTAGAAAACGAAATGAAAAGAAAAAAGCTGTAAGCAGTACACAGGTAGTTAGTAACTCAATGGTGGACTCAAATTGTGAGCCACAAGTTGCACTACCAAGATCTGATCGTAAGAGTGAAACCCATCCTGGCGTAACTGAGAAGAAAAATCTAATAACATCGAATATTATTGTGAGCAAATTGCGGGAGTCAAGTGACCCTGATCCGAAAGTTAGACACGCGCATGACTTAGAAAAGCTAGGAGAATACATTCGTAGTATTTTACCAGATAACTCCAAAGGAGTTCAGGTTAAAAAGTTAGTAAGAATAGGCAAGAGGACCGAGGACAATGTTGAACCCCGTCCATGCAGACTCCTTAAGGTAATCCTAGGATCGGAGAAGCAACGGGATCTCTTGTTAAGTAGCGCTCGTTGTCACGACAATTCTGACATCCGAGTTAGGCCTGATATATCTCTCGAAGATAGAATAAAAAGGAAGAAAGCACTAGCTGAACTTGAAACCCGTCGGCAAAACGGCGAGGAAAATCTCCGGTTAGTGGGTTTTCGGATAGTCAGGTCTTGGAAGCGAATGCTACCTAGGCCTGTGTGGATAGGCTGTTCTACTTAGGAGTTTTATATGCCAACGCTCGTAGTCTACGAAATAAGTTCTATGAACTAGAAGCATTAGTGGACAGGGTAAAGCCACTCATAGTAGCAGTGACAGAAACTTGGTTAGTCGATGACTTAGACATTACTCCAGAATTATCCGGATATCACTGCATCAGGAGTGACAGACATAGATGTAGGAAAGGAGGCGGCGTCCTGTTATACATAGCTAATAGCATAAATATCCGCTCCTCTACTAGAGATTCCCATGATAGCGGTACTTGTGAAGTCATTAGCTGTAAGTTGGCTATCGGATGTAGCACATTTATGCTCGGTGTCATCTATCGCAGCCCAATCTGCCTAGCTGATGACTTTGTTTTAGAGCACATTCATCTTTGGAGTGAAAATACCAGATGTTTGATAATAGGAGACTTTAACGCACCTGATATTAGTTGGACTGATATGACCACAGCAGGATCTATAAACTCCTTTGATAGTAAGTTCCTGATAACAATAATGGAGCATGCACTAGTACAGCATGTATCCCAACCCACACGTTTTGGTGTTAACCAGGGTTCTTCTCTGCTGGATTTGGTAATCACTCATGAGACTGAGGATATTGTCGACTTCAATATTCTCCCGCCGTTAGTGAACAGCGACCACGCTGTTTTGTCATTCACGTTTCGTACTAGGGACATGTTATACGATCAGGTTACACCTCGCCCAAATGTATGGAAAGCTAACATATCAGCCATTCAGGAATGTGCTGCTAAGACAAATTGGTTAGTAGATACTAGCATATCAGTTGAAGAAGTATGGTCTGTATTTAAAGGTAAATTTAGACTAGTTACGTCCCCGTTCATACCATACCTGGTACCGCGAAGACCGAATAATAGTCCACCATGGATAACTAAAACGGTCAGGAAACTCCTTAGAAAAAGGAAGAATCACTGGGATATGTTCATCTCTACCGGCTTAGAACAATACAGATCCAGTTATTGTAAGATTAGGAATGCCTGTAAAGCGTTAATAAGTAAGACTAGACTATCATACGAAAAACAATTGGTTAGGGATTCTAGATATAGTCCGAAACGGTTATTCTCGTATATAAAAAGGCGAACTAAGAGAAGTGATGGAATTCCATCACTTTTGATACGAGAAAATCCGTTAATCTTAGCAGACAATGATGCCGAAAAAGCTGAAGCATTATCGGAATACTTTAGTAAAGTGTTTTCTATCGGTAATGAGGAACGACCAATGATTCGTTGCGACCGTGACGGCTCGCTGATGGATCCTGTAGTCATTGAGAAAGATACTGTTTTAAGGCTACTACAACATCTCAAACCTGATAAGTCCAGTGGTCCTGACGATATTCATCCTAGGATTATGAAAGCCTTTCACATGAAATTGCTGAACCATTAGCGATACTATTCGACATGTCTCTGAGACAGTCCAAACTGCCTAGAGACTGGAAAGACGCCATAATAAGTCCGGTGTATAAGGCTGGGGGTAGGGATTTAGTTAGTAACTATAGACCCGTTAGCTTAACTAGTGCAGTTGTAAAACTGATGGAGAAAATCATTCGGATAGCTGTCATAAACTATGTTGAAGGGCAAAATCTTTTCTCCAGGGCACAACATGGTTTTCGGAAAGGCCTATCTTGCTTGACAAATCTTCTCATTGCACGAGAAGATTGGGCTGCGGCAAAGGATCGGAATACCCCTGTGGATGTGATTTTCATAGATCTAAGTAAAGCCTTTGATAAGGTTTCCCACTCTGGTCTTAAATTCAAACTGAAACGTTTTGGAATCCATTATACAGTCGTCGATTGGATAAGTAACTTTCTCCATGACAGGAGACAAAGGGTAAGGGTTAATGGGACTCTCTCCTCGTGGGTACCTGTAAAAAGTGGGGTTCCCCAAGGTACAATCCTGGGTCCTCTTCTCTTTTTACTTTATGTAAATGAATTGCCAACTGTAGCAAAATCATCCGTTCTACTCTTCGCTGATGACATAAAGATTTGGAGACCCATACATAGTATGTCGGATAGGATAGTATTACAGGACGATCTTAGCTCATTGGTGGCATGGTTAGATAGGTGGTCACTAGAAGTAAATCCTAATAAGAGTGTAGTGATGCAGTTAAATAACTCTGATGAATCGTATGACTATACGCTACGTGGATTCGTGCTACCAAAAGTAACAAACTATAAAGATTTAGGAGTCATATTAAGCAATGATCTCAAAACGACTGGTCACTGTAAGGCTGCTGCTGCGAAAGGCTATAGGGTATTATGGTCAATTCGTAGGTCTTTCCAGTATTTAGATGATGAAATGTTTAGATTACTATACCCGATTTATGTGCGACCACATTTAGAATACGGGGTTCAAGCAGCGTGTCCTTGTTTCAAATATGAAGCAGATATGCTAGAAAGAGTCCAACGACGAGCTACTAAAATGGTACAAGGTCTATCTGGCCTATCTTATGAAGACAGACTGAGACACCTTAACTTATTTCCGTTATCTTACCGTAGAATAAGGGGTGATCTAATATTGGCCTATCGTATAATGAACGATGACCTTGGTATTAACATGTCTTATCTTTTGCTCCCGTCTAGAACCGATCATTTGAGAGGACATTCGAAGAAAGTTCAAAAACCGAGATCAAACCGTTTACGTCTGGAGTTCCGTTTCTCGCACCGAGTAGTGAATTACTGGAATTCTCTACCGGAACACGTAATATCAGCACCATCTGTTAATATATTCAAAACGAGATTGGACCTCCACTGTATTACAAACTGCAAGGATTAATATAGGTCGACAGACCTCCTATCCTTATTACTGAAGACTGAAGACTGAAGACAACAGTGTAGCGCAACTGTTCGGGGCTTGGAGGTGGCGGAGGTTTCTATTTGACTGCATAACTGAAATATACGCCAATGATTCGTTTCCCCAGTGGGACTGTTGACGGTCTCTCTTGCTTCTTATCTATTCCACATACCCTGCTTAGTGCCTCTCCTCTTAATCCCGGAGGACTGACCATGCAAGGTATTGATGGCTCACCTTCCAGTCTCCCTTTCCCAGGACACACTCCTTTTGTTAGGAACCTATGTTTGGGACTCAATTTACCTATCATAAATACCGCAAATATTTTTCCTCCTCCGAATCTCGGGGTTGGCGTAATACCTCCAGCTTCTTGTGCATCTGCAGGGTACCAAAACCCAGTTTTGTGTTTTCCTGCCTCAGTGACTCAAACGGCCCACTCGGTTATTGATTCTGGTCCATCTGATCCATCTGTTCACACGATTGTTCGTGGTCCAGTTATGTACACAAGCGCCGTAAGTATTTTTGTAACTCAATCCAATTCTCCTTTGCATATTTTAATTAAGCTGTATCATTACCTGTGGGGCCTTATGTTGTGTTATTTAGACATTATGTAGGTAACGCTGATGCAACTACTACCTGTTTGATCAGCTTTGATATTATGAGCATGAAATATGTAACTTTTCCCTGGAACTCCATTAGCCCGCAACCAAATAAGTCTCGTAACTTTGTCCGGATTGTGACGCCTGTAGCTCAGGTAAGATGCTCTGCGTATTAAAGTCAGCCAGTCAGAGAAAACATCGTGCTCAGTTTGGTTCTCACTACTTTGTGGTCGTAAACGTTTGTCAAAGTAAATGTGCGGATGCTCTAAGTGTTTGGTCGTTTGTGTATTTGTGATATATCTCATTTGATGGGACTATGGAGTGAATAATGCTACGCTTGATGTTTGGCTGTGCCAACAGACAGACTTGTATATGGGAAGTAGACGTTAGCTTGTTGAGGTGGCTTAGATTAGTGTTGCGCATACCCATCCATCGCCTATTCTAACACCCTGTACTGACTAGTTTTGTAATAAACTATAAGGATTTAGACGTAGCTAAATACTATCATTCTATGATATCGCTAACTATTGAACTGAATCATGCGGAATAGTGGGAACTTCGTTATTTAACTGGATAATAACCTTTAATCGACATTCTGGGACCTCAGGTGATGTTTCTGAAAATCAGTCACACTAATGGAGATGTATTGGCCCGATATTTAACCATAGGTGTCTATTCTCCGTATTATTTATTACTTTACTATCCGACTTCCTTTTTTTAAATAATGTTCTGTGTACCTGGTTTTTTATTGCCACAAATATCACTATTTCAACAATTGCTTTTCAACTTGCTAATTTAGTGTCTCTGCTAATGCGGAGTATAACAACTTGTAGCGGTACATATTTGTCCCTAGTCGTGGTTTGATTATGACTGACTCACTGATTGCACCTAACCTGCTGTCGGGAATGTTGTCTCGATAGTTTTTTTTAATCTTTTGATATTGGTCATTTCTTTCGTATTAGGCATTTGTACCGTACTACTGAGTAGTGAATGTCGTAAACCTATTGTGCATGTTGTGAATGTTTAGCACTGAGATATTTGAGTTCCTGCTTTGTCATTACTATTCTGAATAATATTGTCTAACTCAGTAATTTATATATGGTGTCCCGTCTTGGTGTGTGGCACTTTGTTATTTGTTAGGACCCAACCTGTTTTGTAGCATGTAATTTTGGTTTGGTGGGTTGAGCACATAATTCGTTTTAATAAATCAACTGACAGCATTTTATATCTTCAGTATGGGGTTGTGGAGATTGTTAAGTTCTTGATTGGGACCATGAATCTATTGATGTTAGACCACCACTGTTAAATGATGGCTCAGTGGTCCAGAGGCTAAGCGTTCGCGCGCGACCAAAGGTCCAGAGTTCGAATCTCGCGTAAGGGGTAGTGGATGGATGCTGCTGAGTCACATACTAGGACGAAACGGCCGTCCAGTGCTTCCAGGTTTTCAATGGTGGTCTAACATCAATCGATTCATGATCTCAATCATTCTTATCCGTTGTATAAAGTAATTATATTTCAGTATATTGGTTTTATCAGCCTGTTTCCAACTGGAATGTGCAGTTATGTTTGTGGTATTTATTTCAGTACCCGTAGTCAAAATACCCAACTCATAGCAGTATATGGAAATAAAAACATGAACTAACCTGTTCACCGGCTATTCAGGTATGAGCTACACTCAAAACGCAGTAGCTCGGTTTTTTAAGCCTCCGCCAACCTGCTTCCCTTCTATTATTCAGCTGATAATGGTGAAATATAATGTGATTTTGTTATATAGTGTTGTGGTGCGTTGGTTATTTAAACAATACAGTAATTTGTTTTACTGTTCGGATTCACTTCGCCAACCATCTGCGAAATCTTAGAGCACCGTCATACTTATCTTTTACCAACAATCGTAGTGTTTCTTGGCATTAGAGCCGCCTTCGATTTATTGGACACGACTGTTCTCCGGGATCGTCTATTGAAAAAGAGTGTGTCCGAGTTTACTAACATTTTGAATGCTTCATATACTATTACGTGAGGCAGAGTAAGAGCATACAACCACCTCTTTCCATTGTTTCACACAATTAGTGGGGTTAGGCAAGGTTGCCCAATCTCACCATTGCTCTTCAACTTTTCCATCCATGATGTTCTGGAAACAGCTCCAATGGATGTAGGTACTGGTCAGTCAGTCAGCTACAACGTAGGACCAGGCACATATATGCATCGGTCTAAGTTAACACAGCACGGAAAGATGAACACCTAATTCATTGAAGCAGTTACTCCAATATTTCTAAGACATCTGTGATCAAATGCTAGTAACTCAAAAGTATCTTTTACTCTCGATAGCCACGTTTCGCAGCCGTAAAGTAAAATAGAACAAACTGTTGCGCAGTATAAGTCAAGAAAAACTCATTGTCGGACGCCGATAAGCATGCCTGTGTTCTAAAACCTGATGAATGGTGTGGTCGATGCAGCCACGACCACGTCTGAAGCAAGCCTGATTTCCTCGTGTTTGCAGCTCACGAATCTTTTGTTAGGCGTCCGATAATCATTGGGGCTAGTATTTTAGATGCTATATTAGTCAAACTAATCCCTCTATGGTTATTACAGGAAGATTTTGAGTGATAAGATCAATTCACGTATAGTGAGAGCCACAGTGACTTATTTCAATCTGGGCCATCTTTGTCGCCTTCGTGATTTTAGTCTAGCTGTAAAAGGTTGGATCTACAACGCTTCAGTGAGATCAGTTTTGCTTTATGCTTGTGGAACCTAGTCTCCAAGTTTAGCATGTTAGACTACACTGTGTCTGAAGAAGTGGCTTACGAATCGTCGGAAATACAATTGGGATATAACAAAAAATATTTATCATTAACTTTTTACCCAATGCTCAATTTATTTGAGACTACCAAGTCCGACCGTGGCATTGATAGATTTTTTGAGTTAGTAATTGTAGGTAACAAAACTCTGATCGAATTTCTGGGTGAAATTGTAAAATGACCTTCAATCACCCAGCTGTTAGTATTTCTATCTCCCTGTCATGTACTATGCATTCGTTATGATTCACTTGTCGACGTAGATTTGCTGTCTAGGCTTATCTGGGCATCTAGTAATCTTTTGTGGTGAGTGACCATGTAAGGTTCTTATAACAATATCCCTTGGTTTTCCGTTCTTTGAATCTCACTAGTTTATTCATGTTTTTGAATATTGAGTAACTGTACTGTCTGATGGAATGTTGTTTGCTGTACTATGTATGCTTTAAATTTGATATGTGCTTTCATCAATTTGTACAGATTATAGTTTGCTTGGTGTAAACCATTCCGTGTAGAAAAATACTTGTTATGCAGAGCTTACGATGATTAAGAACACTTAATTTTTTATCGAATTTTTAGCATAGATTCATAGTTTAAAAGGGTATCCACTCAAAATTCGTTTCGTTTCATCACTGTCTTGTTTACAGCGTTATATTTTATGTATTTTTTCGTTGGTGCTCTTTTTATTGCTTTCTTACACTTGTTTCAGTTCAACGGCTGATTCACATTCGAATCGATTCATCTGCGCCTCTACTGGTTAATGGTAATCATAAATAAAACAACCTAGCACTCACAACTCTGTTTTTTGAATCATAATTATCTTTTTTTACTGTGGAGTCCTATTCATGTAAATGAATGATCATCCACCGTTTATTCATTGGTTTTTGTGATAGCTCTCATATATATATATATATATATATATATATATATATATATATATATATATATATATATATATATATATATATATATTTGAGAGCAGAGTAAAACAATTTAGCCAGTGCTTTTCGTCATGTAATTTTTATGGTTGCATTCATGTTCGTCCGTATTTACTTCTACATATCTATGTGTTTATGTAGCATTTGCATTTGCACATTGTGGTGACTTTGCTTTTGTGTTACTGTTTTTTTTTAATTTAAAAAAAAACTAGTACGTTGATTCAGTACTGGTTGTTAGCACTGTTCGCGCTTCGTGCTTTGCTCGCTTAATTTGTTTGTGAATAATGTTTTTCTAGTGTTTGTTGTTTTGTTTACTTCATATCTTTTTTGTGTACTTTTCAGAGTAGTCGTGATTTGATTCAACGAAGCAATGGAATTCATTCCAGTGATGCAAAAATTACAGAAGAAAGTCCTCCTGATCGTATTGTGGCTTCTTATGCTGCTGCAGCACATGCAGCTGCGTTGGCTTGTCATCAACCGATTTCCAGAGCTGCTGAAGCTTACTTAGCCACAAACTCTTATAACCGATCACGTCATTCTAAAAGACCTCGGGCACTAAACCATTTGTCTACTGTCACAATATCAACAACTTCGAACTCACTGTCTACTTTTGTGGATACTGGATCAAATTATATTTCATCTAATTTATTATCAGTCCCTTCTTCTGGATCATCACTTATTTCATCAGAAGCTACTTATGGAGAATCACATAAAGGGTGGACTCGTCTAGTGAATAAGAAAACACAAAATGTAGTGTACATAACGTAAGTGTTGTCATCATTTTCTTCTTCATAGTTTGTATCTTAAGATTACAAACCTTTTCAGAATAAATTCGTGTAGTTTTTATCACCTAACATAAATATGAAATATCAGTAATCTTAATAATGTAAGGTCATATTTTATACCAAGTCAAATTCGTTGTTATAACTAAATCTTAGAGATAGTGTGACGTGAACATTTTGTCGAATAAATACATAACAAAGTTATTGGAACTTATTTTAAATAATTTTGTTGATGGTATTAGGTAGAAAAGGAAGTTTTTACAATGGAGGTTTTTCATGGTTGCTAACTTTGTATGAGGTTTCTAACGAAGCATTCACTGCATTGTTTATACAGATGGTCGAGAAATAGCTGAATTTGAAGACAAAAATCACGGAATGTCAACCTAATGATCTAAAAATAACGTAGTGTCCACTAAGCTTAAAAGTCGAATGTTTCATCTCTGAGTAAGTTACGCTTGGAAATTACTGGAGATTGCTATATTAGGACGAAGTAGTTGTCCAGTGCTCCTTGCTTTTCAGTCATCTAGCATAAATTGGTCCGTGAAGTATAGTGCAAAGTAAGTAGAATGCGACGGTACTTTGTAGTAAATATTCAACTTGTCTCAAGATTTTTCATCAGTGAATTGAGTTCAATATATAAAATGGAAATGTATCAATATTTCAACGTCTATAATTAAAACCACTATAATATAGCGGAAATTCACAGCCTCATCATCTCTACTCGTTTCTAGTGTATTAACTTGTTTTATCTCCTGTAAGTTTACTATATCTCAATAGTTTCTTAATACCGCTTATTTTCTCATGAACTTTTACTTATTGTATAACGGTGACATGTCCAGGTATTTTATTAGCGTTAGTCGAATCCTCATAAGCTTCACTTTACTGATCTTGGTGCAGTTAGGGTATCATAAAATACGTCATTTAATACACAACTATCTCGTAGATCAGTACTTTATAGACTTTTCGTAATGACCATTCAGATAAATTTCTTGTACATTTACCTTATCTGCTTATATGAATGTTTAGCTAGCACTAGAATAGGTCAACATCCTTTATATAACTATTATTTACATGATTTATGTAAATATCTTGAACGTAAAGTAGTTATATTGACTAAAACATTTTCTTTCATTACCTATATATTTGACCCGACTGCAGCGCACTGTTCTAGGGACTTAAATAAACAGTTCAAAAAGAATTCGGATTGATAAATAATTTATAGTTTAAGTGTCTTTTTACAGTTTACAAGTAGATTTAAAATGTAGACTCAAACATTCTGAGGCAATTGGCACAAATAATGAATTTCCTCACAATTACTGTTTATGGCATCTTTTTTTAACCGTGTGGTTATTTGAATTAACTACTTTTCTTGTCAAAGATGGTCATTTAAATTCTAATGCTATTTCACTCTTTTGCATTTATGGGCCTATCCTGTTTCATTAATTTTATAATACTGTACATTTTTGATTCATGTTCAAGAGGACTCGATATATTTTTATACAAATCTGTTAAGTCATTGTATTGACAGGGAAGTATTTCCTTAAATTTAAGTATTCTATTTTTGTTGACTGGAAGTTGTGTTCAGAACATAATTATGATTAGTTTACCTATTGTACATACAGTCTTAGTTTATTTCGTATGATCGCAAGTACGATAGTGTCCAAATAGGTTTGCGTAAAAATACCGCTGTTGCAGCTTAAGAGATACAACTTTAAATTATCACACCTACTTTCAAATGATTATGCAACTGAGTCTGCGGATACCTTTTTAGTAGTTCATTTTCAATTTAAGTAAATCTTATAATTACCCTTCTTTGTATCAGTCATTCAGTCATACGTAACGTAGAACTTGGCACATATGTACCACATTTCAAGCTGTCGTACTTCATCAGTACAGCAAGATGAAGTTGTCAGGGTGAATCCCAGATTAGCAAAGGTAGTAATAGTACTAGTGGTTATAAAAGAGATTAAGCATCAAAGAAATGATTCGAGGGAACATAAATTGTAGGGGAAGAAAAAGAGTGAATACAGCTAAATTTTTGCAAACCATTTTGAGCCATATCACTCAGTGCATCTAACCATTGGTTACGTCAATAAAACAGACCCAACCAGATAGTTTTCATCTACCTAAATGGTTCAGCCCAATAGTCCTTGTTTTCATGAGTTGGTGCTATGTCCTATTCTGCCCTTCTTAACTTTCTTCCCACTTACTGTTACACCATCCGTCATCGCACGTTAAGATGATCGATAAACAAATTCGAAATGGAGTCTTACACATGTTTTCCTGAACTCCGATATTGAGATTTGACAAAATAAAACTCAGCAAAGATCTTAGTCAACCTTTAGATCAGACTAAACACAGAATGTTTCATGTCTAGACTTAATTTAAATCCCTTTGACCGTGAGATTAGTAAGTACTTCTGTTTGACTGATCCAAGTGGTTATTCATGTAAATTACAGTCGTTTAACCTCCATATTCATGAATGAAGAAATTATGTGAACTATAAACTACTATAAATTTCCCAATTTAAACTCAAAGCATGTTTCGTTATCAAAACGATGTCACTATGAGGATGGATTAAAGTGTTTATCACTGTTTTAACTCAGCAGAATTTCGTTTCAATATATATAAAAATTGATACTCATTATGAAGACATTGTACAGTCATTTAATTTTCCACAATAGCACCTGGTTATTTGTTTTTGAATATTGTGGTTAAATGTGTAAAGTACATTCACTCTTTTCAGTTCTATAAAATTAAAAATGAAATATAGTTAGTGTACATGATAATATATTGACAAAGATTAAAACTTGTCCAGTGTGTTTTTCATCCACTTTCTCTATCGTTTACATTTTTAAAAACAGTATTTTATGCATCATAATAGGTCTGATGGTACTCGCCTACATAACGTCGATGAAGTATACACATATTTATCAACAAGAAATTCAGAATGTGAAATTAATTCCAATATAAAAGAATTAATCGCTGCTCATTTCATTTTTGCACCAGCAATCGATGGTCCTTCGCTTGAGGATACATTAAATTTTGTTCATAGATTACAAGGTTCTGTTTTAAAAGATGAATCAGTGAATGATAACGTTTCCCAGTTTCTAACAACTGTATCAAGTAGTGTAAATAGTGATAGTGTTTCACAAGCCGTTAAATCATCGGAGGGAGTTTGTAAGTTTATTGTATTATGTGTGTCTTTATTTGTTAGATTGTTAGTTTTTGTTTTTATGATTTCAATACACTTAACAATTAATAAACCTCGTTATATTAACACATTCTTTTTTGTCGGAGAAAGAAAGAAATATTAAAATTCACGTACTTGATTGAAAAAGTGATTTTTATTTAGTTAAGTTTCAGTCCACTTTTATTATGTTAATTAATATACATTGACTTCTCGTTCAAATGACACTTTTCAGTTTAATAAATTGATTAATTGAGAATAATTATATAGAAACTCAAATATGAATTCTTTTTAAGTCTCTATCATTAAAGCACAATCATGTAAAGTCTTATGAAATATAAATCTTACCAAAGTAGAAGCATTATTAGAGATTCAGTTCAAGTTAATTCAAATGGTAACAAACACAAATTTCACATCAGTTGTATTATTCGTTATATCAGAGATGAAGACCATAAATTAACAGTCTAGTAATTAACAAATGTTTAGTTTAATTCTGATTATTACTGACGCGTACCAATATAAAATGGTATCAAATTAATAGACCGATAAGATAATATCATGGATATTGAATTCTATTGTTAACCGCTACCAAAATACCATACATTTAACATAAATTGGCCGTTAGTCATAGTATACAATTGACCAATTAAATTTGAACGTAACTCGTACGATACTTGAGCACTTGGTTAGTTTGTGGTATTGCTAAATATTATCCATTTAGTGACTGAAGGTATAGATATAATTGAGTTGTATATTAAGTATTTTCGTAAATTTGATTATTCGTTTAACAAAACTCATGTTTGTTAAGAACAAATGAAGTAGTCATTGACATGGAAAGTGGAAATTACATTAATATTCGAATGTTGAAAGATATTTGCAATTTTTCTGTAAGCCGTGCGTCTGTCAGAAGTAGTGTTTGATTGGATCTGACAGTTCGAAAATTGATTGTAATAAAGTACAAAATATTCTGTTAAAAATTTTAAGGATCATAAATATAAGTGAATGTTATGTAACACTTACTTACGCCTGTTACTCCTCGTGAAGGAGCATAGGCCGCTCACCAGCATTCGCCATCCAACCCTGCCATGGGCATTCCTTTCCAGTTGCTACTCATCTTCTTCATGTCTGCTTCTATTTCCGGACTAAGAACATCTATTAAATGTTCGGTAGCCAGACTAGGAACTTTTTATGACTTGTTATAGATAGTAATTGACTGATGTTAACAATTGGTTTCATTGGTAACTGATCTGAGATTTATTGGAAATTCTTCCAGTAAGTTACGGTTGATGTCACTTAGCGTTGATTTTCTCTTCATTCTCAACATGTCACATGTTAGCTACCAGAATACGATTATATTGATCTTTCAGAAAATGGTCTATTCTTCTACATTGGTCGAATTTTTTTATAGAAAAAAAGCAGCATAATAGTGAAAGTCATTCACAATCAATGTGATACCTAGCACCATTATACATCAGTCAATGTTGTCACACCAGATTATCATGACAAAATGAAATCAATCAGATGAATGATGAAAGAAGTATTAGTGGTAATAAGATTGAAGCATATTGTTCAAAAAAAGAGTAAATATTATAAGGCGAAGAAAGTATTGAATCTCAGAACCTAAGGAAAGATAAGGAATAAATACAGCCTTAATGTTAGAAATAATACCCCACTCCATCTAAGGTCTCTACCGATTGATCATGATGACCGGGTAGATACTAATCAACTAGTATGGGCCTATCGAAGTGAGTAATTTCCTGATGCCATAACTTACTTCGACCATTGGTACTGCTTTAGATTGTGTATTGTAGTTAGTCGTTTTATTATACTTTTTTAATCGTAATTTAAAATCTGCTAACCTGCTAGTTCTTCCACTCTACTCAGGTTTATGTGCTTATGATCAAATGTCACTCACACTTTATTGTGACATCACGTGATTTGTAATCGATTGCAAAATGTTTAAGCATTTAGAATAGTTCTTTTTAAAACAAGAACAGAATATATTAGATTATTGTGAGAAAGTAACTACACTTCATCCAGTTAGAAAAGACTGTCTACGGAGTGTACAACAAAAAGTTGTAGCAATGTTGTTCCTGACTTCTGTTATTCACTTCCATGACGTTTTAAATCTATACAGGGAGTCTTGATAAAGCGATAATTGCTAATCAACAATAAATATCATTCATTTCATTGCATCTTGTTATAGCCTTGTTAACTTGTCATGTTTTCCACCTAATCACATCGCAAAAAATAATGTTCGGTATAAAAGCAGCCAGTACTCGATATGAAGTTTTAAGGTCGATAAATTTGATTGTTGAGCCACTAGAATCTTTAAAAATCTTTGTGGTTTTCGTCTATTTAGTCCATACTAAAAATAAAAATTGTGAGTTTGATAATTGGAGTCAGCGAAACGTTAAAGATCATTGGCGTGTCTACTGCATAATGTAGGCGCCAAAAGGACAGTTAGATCTCGACAATTAGACTTACAGCAACGAAATTATACTCATTGAGTAGTTACGCAAAGGTGTAATTTTGTAATTTCACTGTGCTTATATAATAATATCGAGTAATTGAAAGAAAGAGTATTATAATAATCAGTAATCATTTGAGAAATTCAGTTAAACAGTTGCTAGATTACATAATATTTACAAAGAATTAACTAAATATCTTGATAAAGAGTCAATATTATAGTAACCCTGTAAGACTCAACAGACAGGCTGAAAATATGTAAAACTACAAAAGTGAAAGGAATTAAGAAATTTTTTTGAAAGAATGAGTTTCATCAAAGTTCAGCTACAACTCATTCTGATGTCAATGCTCAAGATAGAGAAGGTGATTGTACAAACTTCTTAGGAAGATAGGTTCCGATAGCTTCATCAATGTCCACAAGACGAACTTGTAAACCATGCGATGAATTTTATGAAATATGGTTGTAATCGTAAAGACTTTATTTAGATCAATTTGATGTCTTTGTCCACTAAGTGAGCGAAGATAGAGCACTTAGTCATTCTTACTTGTTCTTTGCTCAACCAAGATGGATGGTGTTTTGCTATGCTATGATGGACTTGTGGAATTGTACAAGTGGTTCTGCGGGAGCAGTTGAGTTAATAGCGAATTGGTGGTTTCCATTATTGGACGATTGTAAAAAACGCGTTTAGTTTGGCTGCCGTAAATGCTTTCGGCACAACCTTTTCCTCGGTCGCATCACTTAGGGATCTCAAGAAAAGTAACCTCTTCGGAACGGTTGTTACCCTGTGTCATATTTTCATTTCGTTCATGTGTTTTTGATAAATTCTGTTGGATATGCATTCCTACTGAGTAGGCTTCAATGAATCTGTTAGTTGCCTTCTAATTTATTTATTGTCAAACAATACATAGAAAGTCCACAAGCGGATAATTTACTCATTTCCATAGTGCTGTATCAGTTACGTATGAAAAAAACAGTAAAAAAATCTGTCTCATAGTTTCAGAATGCTTTGCTCTGATGTCATCATTGAAGATTAATTGAGTAATGTTCATAATCTGCTTAATAGGAATGTATATCCAACGAAATTTATCAAGAAGCACATGAATGTAGAGCCATGATGAATTATTCTGAAGGACCCTGCTTCGCTCTTTTTGTTTTACTAGATGTCGAAATGGTGATTTTTCGTTGAAATATTTAAATCAGAGAATGATATACTGTAAAAAGAGCTTTCTTTTTAATGACAAACAGTTAAATATCTAAAAGGTTTTGATAAATTCGAATCAAGAGTTTTTACAGCTACTTTTATCACATTATTTGTTATATTTTAAATCCCCTGTAGAGATAATTTATGTTATATTTTTTAACAGCCACCTGTCGTATTACGTTCAACCCCGATTATTTAACAAACTCTGACCTGCCAGCAAAACGATCAAAGTTAACTGATGATTTACTTAGTTCAGTTTGTAATCCAAAAGAGCCATCTACATTGAAGCAACAGTCCGTTAACTCTTCAGTCAATACAACTATCAGTGCATGTCTAACACAGTCATTTGTATCATCGAATAATTGTGAATTGAATATTTTGTGTACTGATGCACTGTATACTTCACCAATTGATCGAATTCGTGAAGGACCAAGTGATTTTGAAAATAATCAATTCACTCACAAACAAAACTTGAATAATTTGAGTAAGAATGAAGCTGAAAATTTCGCAGCTTCGTCTACTAGCGTATTTCCTGATGATATATCTTCTAGTCGAATAAAACCAAGTCAGTTGCAGAATGATAGCGAAGTAGTTGCTAAACTTACCACTGAAACCCTTACAACTGGCGCCTTGCGTACATCGTTAGCATCACTAACTACTGAGGTTGTTCCGTCCGTTATATCTCCGTCCAAGCAGATTGGTGTAAATGCTACAAATTTTAGTTTATCAGACGCTACTAGTTCATGTTTCGATCCATCTCAGGCAAATTTAGCTACACTGGACGTCTTGCAACAAAATTCTGTTAATCCACTGTTCATTGAACAATTACTTGAAATCAATCAAATGCGTCATATTCATCATCCACAGCAGCATAATCATAATTTGAGTTCAGGCATCACGGTCACAGTACCGACACAAAACATCATAGGAAACTATCCATTTGGCGTTTTAGCTGGTCAGTCTCTATCAAATCCTATTTTATCATCTTTAACAGCTGAATGGCTTTCAAATCTTCGTTCATCTACACAACAATCGATAACTAGTAGTACTCTACCAGAGTTGACACTGAATTCAGCTATTGACAATTTAAATGCAACTTCTGTTCTTCAGCAATATCAACAACGACAACATTTCTTAACTCTGGCAGCCTTACAAAAACATCAGCAAAATCAAGCATTAGCCCTGATTCAAAATGCCGTCTTGCTCCAACAACAAAGGAATAATAGTGTTGCAAACGCTGCTGCACTTGTCTTACGTCAACAACAAGAGCAACAGTTGGCAGTAGCTTCTTTACAAGCCCAAAGTTATATAGCTGCTTTGCAACAGCAGTTTACTAATTCACATACCTAAAATCGACTTCTCATTACCCCATAAATAATAATATACATAAGTAGGAGATTGATTTATTCACACCGTTCTTTATTGGTATGTTGTATATCACACATATCTATTGACAAATGTCTTTCTCATTTGATTCATTTAATTATTGATTTTCTCCTTACATTGTGCCTACGCTAGTCTGATGTATTAGCAGTGATGATATTTGATAATACTAGTCGCTCCTCAAAGGTATACTCGTATATGTACACATGTTGATACTGGAATTTCTGCTTCCCTTGCATTTCTTTTCTTTTGACTAAACACTTCTATTCATTTTGAGTTTGTAACAGTTTTCTATAACTACAGCACTGACATCTCATTACCATTTGGTCCTGTATTTAAATGTTATATTGTAATTATACTTTCCTCTCAAATCTTATTTTTTGGTAGTATATTGTACTATTTGATCCTTCTTTGTATAGCTATCTTTTCTTAGGTGTTTCTGTGCGTTCGTTTCCATTTGTATTCTGTTTTTCTTTGTTTATAATATTCTCTCTCTAGCTTTCATCATACTATTTTACTTAATCATATTTTGAACATGTTATTATTACTACTATTATTACTAAAGACGGCATAAACAACTGATACACTCTTTCATACTTAACTAGTTTCTCATTGTGTTAATACCATATAGCTGAATCTATCATTTCAGGTGTTGTTACACAACTGGAAGACAATATGTGTTAAGCTATTTTTCACAATGGGTGGCAGCCTTCTTATAAATAGTATATATTGAGGGAAATTAAAATTATATTAGTAAGAAAGTGTAATGCTTTTAGTAGTGGCCCAGTTAAAAAAATGATCAGTTTCCTTGCACTACTGTCTGATACTCATCTACTGAAGATGCTTACCTTGTATGTTTATGTTAATTTATGTGAACTGGATAGTTCAATTATCAAAATTTCATCGTCCTCGTCAACTTCAACATTTGATCCAAGTGGAAGTGCATTTTTCAGATTATTCTGAAATAGTGAATACTTCCTTCGTTTGCGACAGGTTGTCTTCGTAGGTGTTTGTAGTCTTTACTTTCCATTCGAGAGGAAAGAATCATTATTACAAATCAGATTAATTATCGAATCAAAGATTGCTTGATATGTACATTGTTGTGAATAAAGTATGGTAAAGTTTCGTGAATGTCTTAATTTCTCAGATATTAGTCTCGAGGAACATCAGATAGCTGCTTTGTCACAGTATGGAGATTTATAGTAGTCCGTACTCACTGCTCCTTAGTTCTCGTGACAAGTGCTAAATTATTAAAACCACATGACTTCCGTTCTGTAGTATAAATTTGCAACTTTAATTGTCGTGATGCAGTAAGATGATAAATCCAATACCACTGGTACCAGCTGTTTAACTCCTGACTTGTAGACACTCCGGGAACAAATCATTGATACTTCAGGAAGTCATATCTAAGTAACTGAACTGATATAAAATTTATGATATATCGAAAGACTAAAGAAATGGTAAGTTGCAAAGCTATTTTATCGTTTATCATTATGTACACACTTACTGTATACTTGTGGTGTGGGCTACTTATGTCCACATAAGTAGTATATAACGGTGTTCAAGCATAAAATGTATTTCAGTAGAAGATCGATGAGGAAAGAACGGAAACGGAACGCAAATGGTATGAAAATGCATGAACAATGGAACGATATTTGCAAAGGAACAGTCAAGTTTGAAATGATGGATTGATATTTTGCAAATTAACTATTTACTATATGGTTCTCAGATTTTAGTGAAATGCTCTGCAATTACGTGTCAAATACTAGACTGTAGATGGAATGACATGTGCGGTGAAAAATATTGTAGTCGGGGTATTGATTGGCGGCTTTATCGATTTTAACATAAGTTTACCTTATGGATTGATGATTTTTTGTCATTTAGAAATTCCTTGTCTCTCCAGCGTTGCGGCTTGTTTAAGCTACAGCTTATAAGATCAGACAGACTAAAGCATTCTAGCTACCACCAAATATGTAACTTCGGTAAGGATGTTAACAACTTTTCTTGCATCTAACAATTCTTTCTTAAACCTAATAATCATCAGTGAACGCTCTCAGGTCATTAAGATCACCTCTAATCCAGTTTTCTTTTCAGGTACCTTCAGAAGAACCCTTCCATGGTATGGGAAACCGAGAAGTGATAATTAGCTTCATACCTCTAACAGCACTCAAGATCACTGTATTCATAATCAATCTCCCTCTGCAATTCCCATTATTCCACCTAAATTGACTTTCAACTCTAAATTTCTTTTTTTGGTTTCCTCCTCAAGTGTCACCATGGCCAACGATCTTATCGCGCAAAACACTGTCCCATGTCTTCTGAAACCTCGCTCCAAACTACACATTGTTTCCTTCAACGTACATACGCTATGTCAAATCGGCCAACACGCATCCTTGGATAAGATCCTAGAATCTCGTACCATTGATGTATTCTGTATCTTCGAAACAGAGATGGAAAAAGCATCTGTTTATTATTGATTGATGCACAGTTCAAAAACTAAAAACACTCAGTTTTGAAGTCAATGATTCTTAGTATTGGGGTTTTTGACATTTTTAGAGACATCATTTAATTCAGAATAATTTGTACGTAATCAATCCAGATAGAAAAAATTAATATACCTACATCAATGAAAACGTTTATTTGTTGAAACTGGGAACTACCTTTGTTCCATTATCAATTATCTACTTGGTGTAATTTGGATCTGATTGCTTGAATTTGTTGAGCATTTATTGTTCAAATAGCTGGATAGCAACATTCGCTTTTTCAACATTATACATTTGAATTTATAACTATATAATACCGTTCATTATCTAAAACCTTGTTTCTAATTTCGACTGAACAGGAGCGCAACTGTATGAACTAACCTAAAAATTCTTTCCCATTTTCACTTCTCTTTGGTTTGGATATAATCACTATTATTGAGCTCACTTAATAAAACCCCTTATCTGTAAACGTTGCACACCTTTGATGTTTCTGATAGACCTAAGTAACTTAAATAATTTCTAACCCGAACAATTAATCATAAATCAACAAAAAAAATGTTACATTATACATTTCTGTTATTGTTCTTCAATCAGTTCCTTCGTTGTAGGTCATTATGTTCGCTCCGCATTGGTACACAGAATGACTAAAAATACACACTTTATTGATCAGCAGGATGCCCACTCACAAAGAATGAACGGTCTTAAACTGATGCCACATATAGGAACTTTCGTCTAAATTTGACCAAATAGTTTCGCAGTAATTGGGTGTCGAGTTGATGTGAGATATTAAGGAAGAGAAATGTATTTGTAAAATCCCAGGAAATTAATCTGTAGTAAATTCAACGTTTCGCTTACAAATAAGGACCATTCCTTCAAAAACCTTGGATCAGATTGCGAGCGGGATCGTGGAAACGCACTGCTGAGGAGTCCAATGGTAGGACGAAACGGCCGTCTAGTGCTTCCAGATGTTCAACGGTGGTCTAACGTCAATCGGTTCATAATACCAATCAAAGTACTGTTTTCCTGTGTATTTTAATTTGTGTGAGACATGTACAGACTGATTAACTCTTGATCAATTATAATTAAATACAAAGGATGACATTTTCGACCACCAATAAAGGCACTAGTCGGCTGTTTCGTTCTGGCATTAGACTCCTCTCAATCTTGCGTGCGGATCGTCACAAGCTAGGACAAAATGGCATTCCTGTGTTTCCAGGTTTTCGATGTTGGTTTATTATTAATAGGTTCATGATTTAAATGAAATTTATCAATCATATGGACGTATGCTGCGTGTGAATGTAAAGATGTAGCATGGGTCGATTTCTCGTTAACTTAATTTTCGCGCGATAGGAGGACTTCAAATGGAGTAATAGACTTAGCTTATTGTATCAATACACATGTATGACTAAAAGGTATGCTCATAAAACTGGAAAATATTCCAAGGGTAACCAGATTTCTCTTGAACTTGTTTACTGCAATCTACTAGTGAGTTTATTATTCGTGCACAGCCTCAATATCATTATTTTTATCTGCTATACTCCACAAATAATAATATTGACATCTTGTTATCGTAAAACTATTCTTAAAGAAAATGTCAACAAATTGTTACTCTTGTGGAGATATGGCTGACAAGCTTATTTTGTAAATAGTTTTTATTATTATTTGTATTTATTTTGTCAACTTCTCACTGTGTGCACATTTGTCATCAAATGACTGTAACTGTTGTTTTAGTAAATGACCTTGAACACACTTTCGTTGTGATACTGACATAGCGTGACATACTCTTGCTGGATAACAAATACACTACTACTCACACATTCCTCGTTCTATCTTCGCTTGTGATTGGGTTAAATGAAGTCTAAATCAAATAATATCTACATTTATAGACTGTAATTAGAACAAATCACATCCTGCGTTGGATTATATCACTGGAGAGTTCGTCAACCAGATTGGAATTACCAAGCATTTATAATTGTGGTTTCTCAGTAACAGACCAAAGCCGAACCCGCATCATTTTGGTGAACTTAAGTAAAGTCTCAACTTTCTATTGTACTTGTAATAATTAACTTATATTTATTAACATTAACTCCGTCTGTAGCTCTTCTAGAGTTACTGCCTGTCCCAAGCCCGGGTAAAGGAGGAGGGTTGGGCATGGGGTTAGCGTCCCCATCCCGTAGAAAACTAACTCGCTAAAAAAACGCTTACCAGAAAAAATAATCCAAACCATTTAAACTCTGCCCTGGGAGTTAGAAGGTCTTCATTTAGAAGAATTATGACGCTTCATGGTGAAAGCCGAGTTCCTTTGGAAGCCATGAGGTCGATGCCCCTTCTAACAACCAGAGCAAACATTTTTGTAGTTACATGGAACGTTCGAACAATGTGGGAGACCGCGAAGGCCAGTCAAATAGCAACGGAAATGAGGAGACACAATTTGACAATACTGGGAATCAGCGAAATCCACTGGACTCAAGCTGGACAGAAAAAGCTAGCTACGGGAGAGATGCTGATATACTCGAGTCACGAAGAGGAAAATGTTCCACACACTCAGGGAGTTGCTCTAATGCTGTTCAAACTGGCACGAAATGCACTTGTAGGATGGGAATCTTACGGATCCAGAATCATCAAAGCATCATTCAAAACAAATAAGGAGGGGATCACAATGAATACTATCCAATATTATGCACCCACCAATTATAGCAACTACGACAATAAAGATCGATTCTACGAGCAGCTGCAATCAATCATATAGAAATGCCCAAGAAAGGACCTCACCATTCTAATGGGAGATCTAAATGCCAAAGTCAAAATAGACAACATCGGATTCGAAGATATCATGGGACGACATGGACTGGAAGAGAGAAATGAAAATGTGGAAAGATTCGCTAATCTGTGTGCATTCAACAAATTGGTCATAGGCGGCACAATATTTCCACACAAACGTATACACAAAGCTACATGGATCTCACTGGATCACACCACGAAGAACTAGATATATCATATTTGCATCAATAAAAAATTCCGAAGGACAATCAAAGATGTGAGAATCAGGAGAGGAGCTAACATACCTTCAGATCACTACCTAGTTTTGGCCAATGTAAAACTGAATCTAAAGAAGAACTGGACAAACAGCACAACAAAGGTTCAATACAGCCTTCCTTGGAGATACTGACAAACTCAACGAATTCAAGATAGCTCTCGACAACAGATTCCAAGACTTACAGGTTCTACTGAAGTAAGAAGAAACTACTATGGAGGATAACTGGAAAGGTATCAAAGAATCACTAACTTCAACGCGTCAAGAGGTTCTGGGCCTCAAGAAGCATCATCATAAGAGACGGATCTCTGTAGGAACACTGAACAGGATCAAAGAAAGGAAGAACAAGAAGACAGCAATTAACAACGGCCGAACACGAACAGAGAAAGTCCAAGCACAAGCTGAGTACATAGAAGCAAACAAGCAATTGAAGAAGAGCATTAGAGCCGACAACCAGAAATACGTGGAAGAACTAGCAACGACGGTGGAAGAAGGTGCAAGAGAAGGAAATGTGAAACAGTTTTACGATACAATGAAGAAACTATCAGGGAAATATAGTAAACCAGAGAAACCGGTCAAAGACAAACAAGGCAAGCCAACCACTGAAATGCAAAAACAGAGGAACAGATGGGTAGAGTAATTCGAGGAACTCCTGAATAGGCCGGCTCCAATGAATCCACCGGACATCGAAGCGGCACACAAAGATCTTCCCATAGACGTCAACCCACCAACGAAGGAAGAAATCAGAATAGCCGTCAGACAAATCAAGAATGGGAAAGCAGCGGGACCCGACAACATACCAGCTGAAGTACTGAAGTCAGACATCGAAGTAACTACAAACATGTTTCACCTTCTATTTAAAGGAGGGACAAGTGCCGATGTACGGGAAGGAAGGACTCTTCATCAAGATTCCAAAGAAAGGAGATATGAGCAAATGTGAAAACTATAGAGGCATGACACTGCTGTCAATACCAGGGAAGGTCTTTAACAGTGTTTCTGAACTGGATGTAAGACACAGTAGACGCCCAACTTCGAGATCAACAAGCTGGATTCCATAAGGATCGATCATGCACAGACCAAATTGCAACACTACGGATCATCGTCGAACAATCAGTTGAGTGGAACTCATCACTATACATCAACTTCATTGATTATAAAAAGGCATTTGACAGTGTGGATAGGAGGACGTTATGGAAACTTCTACAACAATACGGAGTTCCTGAGAAGATTGTCAACATTATCCGGAACTCACACGACGGGCTACAATGCAAAGTCGTGCATGGAGGACAGCTGACAGATGCATTCCAAGTAAGGACCGGAGTCAGACAAGGCTGTTTACTCTACCCATTCCTCTTTCTTCTGGTGGTCGACTGGATTGTGAGGACCTCGATATCTGAGGGAAAACACGGCATACGATGGACAGCTCAAAATCAATTAGACGAATTGGACTCCGCAGATGACCTGGCCCTCGTATCGAATACACACAAACAAATGCAAATAAAGACAGCCAGTGTAGCATCAGTCTCTGCATCATTAGAACCCAGCATACACAAAGGGAAAACGAAGGTCCTCAAATTCAAGGCGGAGAACAGCAATCTAATCGCTCTTGATGAAGAAACTCTGGAAGATGTAGAATCCTTCACATGCCAGGGAAGCATCGTCGATGAACAATGTGGATCTGATGAAGAAGTAAATGGGGGAATCGACGAGGCGAGAGCCGCATTCCTACAGTTGAAGAACATACGGAACTCAAAACAACTTTCATCCAATATCAAAGTGAGAATCTTCAATACGAACGTCAAAACAGTTCTACTGTACGAAGCTGAAACTCGACGAACTGCCACAACCATTATCAAGAAACTAAAGGTATCTCTAAATAGTAGTCTACGCAAGATACTCAACATCCATTGGCCGGGTACCATCAGTAACAGCCCTCTGTGAGAGAGAACAAACCAGCTTTCAGCTGAAAAAGAACTTCAGCAAAAACGATAGAAATGGATAGAACATATATTACGCAAATCATCAAGCAGCATCACGAGGCCTGTATTAACTTGGAATCCTGAAGGAAGGTAGAAAAGCGGAAGGCCAACAAACATATTACGTCGGGAATTAGAAGCATATATGGACAGGATGAATAACAACTGGGAAGTGTTAGAGAGGATTTCCCAGGCAGGGTTGGGCGGAGGATACTGGTGAGAGGCCTGTGCACCCTCACGAGGAGTAACAGACGTAAGTATGTAAGTATTTATCATGGAATGCTATCAATAAGTGTAAATGGGATATTATTTGCAATGAAAAAAACTACTCCTTATTTCCGCTTGTGGATTATGCTGGCTCTGACTTATGTATAAAAGAAGCATCAATTATTACAAATATCACGTGAAAACATACTCTCACGAAAATGTTTTCTCCAAATACTCCAAAGTACATTACCGTGATATACTATAGAACAACGCGGACTCTTCGAGTCTGATATGGACACCAGAGTGATGTGTACAACATGGATCACTCAACTCAAACATCAAAACTGAATCTCCAACTAAGTAACCAGTAT